AATATTTTATTTCGTAGTCCAATATATAATTTTTTGTGTAAAGTCGTACAGACGCATGTAAATAAAATGGCTAACAGTGAAATTTTTAAAGTGGAAGTCCTGCAACCAACTCCACTTCTTGTAAACAAAAATTAAATCAAGGAGGTCAAGTTATCATTAATTGATGGATATTACGTAATCAAATCAATATTTATATTTGACATAAATTAAAGGTAATTAATTATACCAATAATATGTAATTAATAACTCATAGACAAGTAGCAATAGTATATAATCTATGTTTAATTAAGGAAATATTAACTGTTTAGACTAATGAGTAATTGAAGGCGAGCCATATTAATAACTCAGTATATGGGGTAGCGTCTTCATTCAACTCTAAGAAAAATATGTTTAATTTATGTTGGTGAGTGTTGTAAGGCTGCATCAAGTACTTTTTAATAAAATAGGGCTCTGACTGAAATGAAATGGGGTTTAACGTCCTACTGTACTGATCCGAATTGAGCTAATGAAGACAGGCATACGCCATACAGTGTGCTATGGGAGAAATTTTGCCCTGACAGAGGCACTACGGCCTACTCTTATATCGAAGGGATCTTTTATGTGCATGCCAATGTGTACACAGGACCTCAATTTTCCGTCCCAACCGAACATCTAGACAGTTGTCCTTGTCAGGCCCTTCGGGCTCTGACTGAGTCGAGGTACATGTACTAACAACGGTGTATTCTCCTAAGGTTCATCAGGGAGGAATTACTAACTATGGTCTATTCTCCCATGCTGATCTCACTTATCCAGCATTCAGAAGATCACATGATAGTCAAACACACAATTTATTCATAGGATATTTCAAATATTTCTTGAGTTTTATTTTAGTTTATTAACAGTAATATTTTGATTTTTTTTATTATTACTGGATAATAAAGACTTATTTTATGTAACGACAATGATAAATAAATCAATGGTCATTTCTAATAAAATGTTTGTATTGTGTACAAATACATGTACCATTTATAAACTTTGTATTGTGTACAAATATACCATTTATAAAATGTTTGTATTGTATACAAACATCCCATTATAAAATTTTAGTATTGTATATAAAAATACCATTTATAAAACACTATGTATAAATCAATGGTAATAAAACCCAACATTTTTCATACCATGTAACATGACATATAGTATGATATAGAGGTATAATCAACTAATTTTGTTCACTATCTATAGAATCAATTCAATATACATACATTACATACCCTCTGTTATTGAGTTTAAGTATATCATTAATTTACACAAGTCTGCATTCTCTATGCATGATTAGCCAATAATATTCTAAACCAGTGAAGCGAACCTTTTTAGAATGGCATATAAAAAATTTAATTTTTTAAAATTATTAATGAAATGTATTTGTTTACCAACCCAAAGGCTAATGTTTTGCTATTTTGTGAGGTGGAATGGCATATAAAAAATTTAATTTTTTAAAATTATCAATGAAATGTATTTGTTTACCAACCCAAAGGCTAATGTTTTGCTATTTTGTGGAATCAATCAACCAAGGTCATTTAGAGATTAGCATATGGTAATATTTATTTCTACGGTTATGTGTGCAATATGAGCGGGAGAATTTTGTCAAAACAGCAGTGTTTCTGCATACTTTTCTTCAAATTCCAACTGCCAAAGCATCTTTAACATGCACTACTAATCTATACACACTACACAGAATGAGAGTAGAATGCTATCTCATTATGTCTCGAGCAGATGTTATCATTACAGAAAAATTGTTTTCTTTCTGTTTATGTGGTTTAATGAGGAAATAAATAAAGCCCGAAAGTTCAGGGACTTCTTTAAAGCCTCCAAGAGGTGTGACGACTATAGAATATGGAGAAATAAAACCAAAAATCTCATTAATAAAGCCAAAAAAAACTTTATCAAGGACTCTATCGAAAATGAAGAGCAATCTAAAAACATATGGAGATATTTTAGTGACATACAGAATAAACCCAATAATTGCCCTTATCCCAATAGTATTAAATATGGAAAAACAACAGTTAATGATCTAAATGCTATTGCTAATGTGATGAATGATTACTTCAGTAATTTAACTGATGACATTAAGCCCCCTTATACACCACTTTCTCAAGAGTGCAAACGAAAGATATCAGATTACGTAAATGATAAGATTCCCCCAAATAACAACTTTTCTATTAATTGTATTACTACCACAGAGGTATTAAAACATTTATTGAGTTTAAATAGTAACAAAGCCATTGGGTGTGATGGTATTGGACCCAAAATTTTAAAATTGTCTGCGTATACAATTTGTAGCAGTTTGACATATATCATTAATCTTTGTATTTCTCAAAACATGTTCCCCAGTGCCCTTAAACTGGCTAAAATTATTCCTATACATAAGAAGGGAGCTAAAGATGATCCGAACAATTAAAAGCCAATCTCAATTCTCCCCACAATTTCAAAAATATTCGAAAGGCACTTGAGCACTCAAATTCAAACTTATTTGGAAACCTTCAATGTTCTTTATGCTTACCAATCTGGATTTAGATCAAATCATTCATGTGCTACTGCACTGATCCGAATGACAGATAATTGGCTTGATGCTATCGATAATGGTGCGATGAGTGGTATAGTGTATCTTGATTTTAGCAAAGCATTTGATCTCATTGATCATAAGCTTATTATTGAAAAACTACATCTTTATCGATTTGATAATAATTCACAAATTTTGATTGAATCATATCTTGACTCACGGAAGCAAAAAGTATGTTTAGGATCAATTACCTCCTCAATTACTACAGTCAAATGCGGGGTTCCACAAGGTTCGATCCTGGGTCCTCTCCTATTCCTAATTTTTATAAATGATCTCCCACTCAATATTGAATCAAGTCAGATAGATTTGTTTGCTGATGACAGTACCCTGCATTGTTCACACAAAGATATTTTATCCATCGCCAAAAATCTCCAAAATGATCTCTATTTGGTTGCTAAATGGTGTGAAAACAATGGGATTGTAATCAATCCTTCGAAAACAAAATCAATGCTGATTTCAACAAAACACAAAAGAAATCAGAAAAACCTAACTTTATCACTCCATGGTGAGAAAATTGAGACGGTTACTACCGCAAAATTACTTGGAATTCAAATTGACCAAGACCTTAATTGGGAAGCACAGATAGCAGATATGTCTAAAAAACTTGCATCAAAAATATTTCTCCTAAATAAGATAAAAGATCATTTACCTTACGAGACAAGAATTTTGTTTTATAACAGTTACATACTACCAATATTTGATTATTGCTCTATTATTTGGGGAAATGCTACCAAAAGTAGATTAGACATTCTTTTAAAGTTACAAAAGAGGGCAGCAAGAGCTATTCTTGATGCACCGATTGAAACTCCGTCCACCTCTTTATTTACTAAACTCGGTTGGCTTACCCTTACACAGAGGATTCTTTACAATAAAATTGTCTTATCATTCAAAATTATTACATTTAATACTCCACTTTATCTAAATTTCTATTTTATTGAAAAATCTCTTGTTTCCAAAACGGATATCTTGCTCCGTTCACAGACCAGTAAATCTCTTTTTCTTCAAAAATGCAAAACGGAATCCATGAAACGTACTTTTCATTATTCTGCATGTCTTTTATGGAACAATCTGCCTTTTGATATAAAGATGTGTAAAAATGTTGAATATTTTAAGATTAAACTGAAAACTCATTTATTTTGCACACTGAAGGAACCATAATATTCAACTGATGACATACTTATTATTTTTAACTTGCAACTGCATTCTATTTTATTTTGTGTGTAATTATAGTGTTCTTCCTATATTCTACTTGTATAATGTATATGTTTTGTAGTTTGGGAGTGACTTATCAAACTTCCCACTTTAAAATGCTATTGCATTTCTAATGATTTTAAATTTATCCTTATATTACATGTATATATGTCTTTGTAGTTTAGGAGGGACCTATGGAAGATTAGTTTTTTTTTTGCAAACTAAATACGTTGCCTCATTAAATAAAGTTTTTATTATTATTATTATTATTATTATTATGTCATAAAAACAAAACAAAAACGATCAACAAAAATCGTGAAAGAGAGAATTCCAAGAAAAATTCACCCTCTAATGATTTAAGTGAAATGAAATGGGGTTTAACGTCCTACTGTTCTGTTCCGACTGGGCTAATGAAGAAAGGTATACACCATGCAGTGAGCTATGAGGGTAATTTTGTTCGAACAGTGGCGCTATGGCCTACTCTTATATCGATTTCCAACTGTCAAGGGATCTTTTGCGTGCACATCAATGTGTACAAAGGACCTCAGTTTTTCATCTGATCCGAACAACTAGAGAGCTGTCCTTGTCAGGCAATTCGATTTGCACCACTGACAAGGGGAAACAATGCCAGAAACTCCTGATAAACTTTCTCGGCCAACACTGACAATAACAGTCCTCTAAATTTTAAATAGGAGGTGCTTACCTTCTAAATGGATTATTACAAATAGAATTCTACTATTGGATTATGAATAGATTTCATCTGTATTTTGAAGCAATAGTAAAATATCAGTTCCTATGTTTACAGTTAACCTTCTTTATTCGTTTTGACAGTACAACAATCATGGCTACTTGTTACTCTTTAACAATTTAAATTCCACAGCACGACAGATTTGAAAATTAATAATGCCTCTTTCATACATCAATTTCTAATTTCTTGTCTAAGTCAACAAAGTCAACACTATGTCATGATTCTTATAGGAGCACAACACCAATTATACATTTTCACTAACTAAAAAGTTGCAAGACAAATGCTTGGACAACGATGTAAACAGTGATTAAATGAAAAATAGTTATTGTAAGCCATGACATATAAGGTAAAAACATCCTCATTTATCACAACACGAACTTGGTATTTAGTCTCAATCTTACAAAAATGAAAATTTCCCAGTGTTTGATTTTTAACAAAGAAACACAAAATGAAACTTACTGCAATTGTTGAAGTAATGATTCTCCTTCACCAACTGTGTGCATGGCTGCTTCAATAGTTGTCTCCCTTTGTTGATTAAATTGTGCCAGTAATTGTTCTGCTCCTTCCACACTATCTGCAATCTCGGAACTCTGTAATTCCTGTTGTAGTTCTTCTAGCCAGGATGTCAACTAAGAAAACAATACACAAATCATTCAAATTTTCAAATATAATCAGAATGACTATAATAGTAATATGAAGTAAAGAAAACAGCTATATTGAGACAACAATCAAAGAGAAATGACTCAAGGTTAGCTTTATGTTAATTATGCATTTATCAAAACCTTGTTTGTAAGGTTATATTTAGAATACAACTGATTCTTCTTATGTAATTTCAATGACAGTGATATTGTAGAATTTGGAGTTTATCAGCCACTTGTATGTCACCTTCAGGTCTACAGTGTAGCCCATTTTCCATTTTAACAATTTCCCAATCTGATAAATACAGATCTACATTTCGTTTCAATTTATTATACTACTTTTGTTGGCTTCCACTACATAAAGATCAGATCAGTTGTAGTGGGAGGTCACATCAAGGGTCATACAGCGATCCTTGACCTTATGACATCAGTCATTCGATTAACCAATCAGCATCGGTGTTCCAAACAACTATACAACTTTCACTTTGTTTATTGTCTATTGCTGCAAATGTCTACCCACAGTTCCGTGCATGATAAGAACTTGACTCAACAGACAATTTGATTGGCTAATCCATCACATTACCCAGAACGCGGGTTTTTTGACAACTGTTCCAGATCCTAGTGTAGTGAAGACAAGTAAAATAAAATTTTGAACTATAAAAAAAGAAACAAAATAGGATCTGTTTTTTTAATGAAATTGACATTTTCCAAACCTGATCAAGCGCATTTACTACGTAAATAGACATATTTAACAGAAATAAATTTTGTATTCAAATATATATATATTTGTTTCACAATTACATGTACTTCAAATTTAATAATTAACTTTGATTGTTCATGAGTATATTGGGTCATACACATCAGTACCAGTGTGCTATGAGAGAAATTTGGCCTGATAGCAACTGCATTTCCCGCCAACGGTCATGGGCTCTTTTAAATGCAGGACAACGATTACCATATAGGCCGAAAATTCTGCAAAAATTGATTTACATTTACGGACTGGTTCCCAATTTTTCTGTTTCGTGTAAATACAAGGAAAACTTAATGTCAATTCGTCAAGAAGAAATTATATTTTTCTTTGCAGATCCAAAACTATTGAATGAGTCTAGATTAAATGTGCTTAGATTTTTAATAATAAAATTCGCCATTGTAATAATTTTTAATAGTTTTAAAAAATAAATAAATAATTCACCTCATGTACATGTGTATAAAAAGCTACGGTCATATCTATTATGGCCTTCCGATGTTCAAGTTGGGTTAAAAAATTATGCATTCTTTCTTCTAATTCGTGAGCTTCTCCATAAATCTCTTTAGGATCACATTCACCTGTTTGTGCTAGTTCGTCTGCGGCAGCTAATAATTTCTCAGCATTTGTAATTGTATTCTGTAATTTGAATAGAAAGAAGGTTTGTTTACTGTTAATTAAACATCAAAAAGCTAATAACTATTTCAAAATATCTCAACTAACAAAAGAAAACTGCTGTAGTGAAAAATAATTAGCAAAAACTGTGGATGGTTAATATATCCTCATATAAAATTATGTAAACCAGGGGCTGACATATGAATGATAGATAAAAGCTGATTTGCATATGATTGTAAACGTCTACTGTATTTTACGGTACATTAGGAATACAATTTTTACCAATTATTTTAATTTCTAGAATGGGTGCACCTAATGCAAGATGTTAATTAAATCTGGGGTTTTCCAGCCTCGATATATTAGTTTGAACATGAAGAAATAATTGTTTTCTCAAGAGTGACTGAGGATTAACCTCCACTTGACACAAACATATGGTTCAATTTCATTTCAATAATTCACTTGCACGTAGGAATCTTTAGCAGTGGGATCAAACAGGGAATCGAAGCCATGCCACTAGACTCAATGATGGACCTTATGATCTAAAATGCACATATTAAACCATTTGGCTACTTAACCCTGCATAATTGCTTGAGATCATATTACATCCAGAGTGCAAATAAAGGCGAAATAATCTGTTGTTAAAAATAAACAAAAAGTCTGCAATGGCTGGAGTTGTCAGTTTAATATTTTGTAATTATTAAACAAGACATTTTATTCTACTTTTTTTTACACTAATTGCATTTGGAAACCAAGAACTACTGGTTGAAATATGGAGGCAATATGGCTAAGAGGAAATATTGAAATTCAGATATTATGAACCATTTCCCCCTAGTGAGACGACCTAATGTCAGATCTTGTAAAGTATTCGTTTGTTCAATATCTGGCTGAGCTCTAAGTCATTTATCTTATTATTGATACCAGAATTAATTGCTACACAGAACAGTGTTTGTACACAGCTTGTTATAATTGATCTTTTAGAACCAGGTAAAGTTATCTCTAGAGGCAATGGGAGATAATTCTCACACATCTGGTGGATGTCTGCATCAAACATCCAAACATCTGAGTGTTATATTATACTTGTACAAACTGTTAATAAATATTTGACTTGGTCACCAGGTGTAGTAAAAGTTATATATAACTTGAGTTTGTTATTTTTTACACCTTAATCCATCATGTATATGAGGCTGCACTAAAGAATGTGTAAATGCAAGCCAATGGTTTTCGATTTTCAATGGTGAGTTACTTATGGTGAAGTATCCATGATGTTCTAAAATGAAATGCGTTTTAACAGCCTAATTCTCTGCACCAAATGGGTAATGTTAACAGGCATACAGAGCGCTATGATTCCTTTAGACAATGTTCCTCACTAGGCAACGGGAGACTCCACCAGAAAATCCTGATACATATAGGGATCAATCCATGGATCCACCTCCACTCCCCGAAAAAAAATTAGCGAGACCCAACACACTAGCAGTAAAGTCATCTGTGCTAGCTCTAATTTCTTTGTCAAAAAATCTACTAAAGTTTAAAAGTAAAAATAAACATTGTTTTTGCAATTCAATAGGGTTCTGTTGCGAAAATTTTATAAATCGGACAGTATTTGTTGATATTTGGAATAACAGAGAACTTTTCACGGTAATTCTGGAACATAAAAATTTTATAACAGTGTCCAATAACCAGATAGATTGAGTTATATTGTATGACTTACCCTAGCAACAGATTCAAAGTGTTCATGACTCTTCTGTAATGCTTTTGCACGTTGAAGTGTTTTTCCTATTGATGTATTCTTCCTCAAAAACACATCACCATGATTATCTAACCAGTCTATAACCTGCAGACCGGAGAAAAAAATAATTCTATAATTATCACAAACAGGACTTCAAAATATTGACTTTTGCTTGACCTACATATATTTTGTAAATGAAATGAAATGAAATGGGGTTTAACGTCATATTGTTCTGCTCCGACTGGGCTAATGAAGACGGGCATACGCCATACAGTGTGCTATGATGGAAATTTTGCCTGGGCAGAGGTGCAATGGCCTACTGCCAAGGGATCGTTTACATGCATGCCAATGTATACACAGGTCCTTGTTTTTTGTTACATCCGAACGACTAGACATCTGTCCTTATTAAGCCCTCCATCCTGCACCACTGACAAGGGGAAACTAAGTCGGAAAATCCCGATGACTTTTCTCGGCAAATACAGGGATCGAACATGCTAGCTCCGGGCTAGTGAGCCAGCGTCTTACCCACAGATATATTTTGTAAACGAGAGAAATGGAATCAGAATAGGGTTAACATCCTACTGTTCTGCACCTACAGTGTACTAGGAGGGAACTTTTGCCTGGACAGCAGCACTACAGCTTACTCTTATTTCGAATTCCAACTGTCAAGGGTTCTTTCACATGCACAGCAGCATTGTGTACATGGAACCTTGAGTAAACAAGAGAAATGAAAATGAAATGAAATGGGAGTTTAACGTCCTACTGTTTTGCTCCGAACTGGGCTAATGAAGACAGGCATACGCCATACAGTGTGCTATGAGGGAAATTTTGCCCGGACAGCGGCACTACGGCCTACTCTTATATCGAATTCCAACTGTCAAGGGATCTTTTACGTGCACGCCAATGTGTACACGGGACTTCGGTTTTTCGTCTCATCCGAATGACTAGACAGCTGTCCTTGTCAGGCCTAAACAAGAGAACATTATTTTTCATAATTACTGCAGGAACTAGAAATCTGACCAAAGTATCTGCCAATGCAAGAGATACATGATTCAATGTTTTGTTCTTGTAATCTCTCAATCCATAGAAAGGTGACGTGTGAGAAAAAATAAATGTTTCGGGCAAAAGGGCAAGAACAAACGGGATGATACTATCTTGACCAATCATTGTATAAGATGTTTGATTATGTCATGATTCGGCTCAAATCACATATGAAGAGCCCCGGAGAAGAACGATCTAAGTCACTTTTTCAACGAACCCCAGTTAATGCCGCCATCTGGTAGCAAATAAGCTTTCTGTAGAACAATCAATTTCAGGTAAAAAAAGATCGGAGTCACATCAAACCAAGTCCCTTCTGAAATGGCCTCACGGACAAATACAAGTCCATCGTACCCTTTATTTGACCTTAATTTGGCTGAAAAGTGGAAATCATTTGTTGTACTGGTAATTATGATTCGTATTAAACATCATTTTGAAGTTCTAATTAAACCCACTCGTTGTTCTGTTCGAGTCAGGCATTATTGTCCAAAAGTCTATTTTGCCTTTTATGTGAAAAGACAAAAATGTGACTTAGATCGTTCTTTCCCTGGACTCTTCATATGTTTTGGGGACTGGTAGGGCTGTGGCAGAACTCAATTCTTTGTCAATCAATGGCAATTCCATCAATTTGAAATGTTCAGGACTAACAATAGGATATCCGGGAAATATAGATGCGTTAATATAAAGTTTGCTGTACCTGTTTTACATCTTGTTGAAATAATCGTAATCCTAGACGTTGATGTAACTTGACTTTTTTAGCATGCCATACTTGTTCTAGATGTCTTTGATGTGCCAATACCTAAAACAAAGATTTTATAGATCGTGAGGTCTACCTTATGTAATATTAGTAGAACAGGTGGTAAAGTCTACTTTAAGTAATATTAGTAGTACAGATGGTAAGGTCTACCTTATGTACAGATGGTAAGGTCTATCTTATGTAATATTAGTAGTACAGATAGTAAGGTCTACCTTGTGTAATATTAGTAGTACAGATGGTAAGGTCTATCTTATGTAATATTAGTAGAACAGGCGGTAAGGTCTACCTTGTGTAATATTAGTAGTACAGATATTAAGGTTTGAATACTTCTTTAAAAGTATAAATTCTGAGTAAATGAAAACAAAATATAAATTGTTTATATCATTCTATCAAATTTCACCCATTATAATCTCTGACCTGATATCCAAGGCAAACCTGTCATAGATACATGAAATGGAAGCCAATGAGAGTGTAAAGAAAAGAATCAAAATGTAAAGATTTCTATTTTGACCACACCGAAACAGGTCCACACTTACTGATCAATCAAAATGTTTTTATTTCTATCTCATTCTATTGGCACCCAAATTACGGTGGAGGGCACAAAAATTACCAAGAAATCCTAGAGTGACACGGGTTACATTTTTGGAAAATGATCTACCTAACTTACCTCATGTACAACATCTAAAACATGTCCAGCGGCTTCCGAATAATCAGCTTTAGCTGTTAGAGAATTACTACTACCACAACTAACTGGTGTCTGTAACGTATCTAGTAATGCTTTACCATCACTACAAACCTACAATACAAAACATAACACATTTAATAATGCTTTACCATCACTATTAGGTATCAGACATGATTTTAGCTGTTGGAAAAAAAAGCTGAAAAAAAATCTCAGGGTGCGTGTCGAGGGGCAACACCAGTGTGTTATGGGGGCAAAGGCGATTTTAAAGTAAGGGGGGGGGGGGGCGGTTCTGATAATGAATTTTAAAATTCTTGTATTTGTCAACTAATTTACTACAAATTTTGGCTTAACTTATAATTTATTTATTTCTCTTCCATTTACAGAACTACGGATCCGATCTTTTGATTGTCCCTGTATAATTTTCTAGACTAGAATCTGTTGCGCTAATTCTAAACTTCCCCATCTTCCTCCCTCCGCCCGTAATTATATTATTAATTCACGAATCTTCAGACATTGACTTTACAAATAGAACGTCTCACAAGCTCGCCTTCCACCTTCCGTTCCAACCATTTCCACTTCCATACATTTTATGGAATACATGTAGTTTGGTGTCGACGTCTCGATCTACGACCTTAGGCATAGCGCGAAAGAACTGACAACGATAACCTATCATCATAGATAGAGAAACTCTATGTTGGTACGATAGAGAAACTCTATGTTACTTCTTGTACACAGTGACAGACGATCTCGTTCAATCTCGCGTGAGTCTACGATACCGTACTGTTAATGTTTACATCGCTGACATCCGGTTAGCAGACTTTAAAGTTATGGATAGATATTTTGGAGTTAACCAGTTAGAAATTCGTCAGGAAAAAATTAATGATTTTTTTTATGATATTACGCTTTTAAAACAAGGTGCTTGAATTAAAACGGAACAATATCGTAACAAAAGCATTGTCAAAAATCGGAACTGACCGCAAAAAATCAGAACCAGGCGGAACAAAGAGCGGAAATCCGCTTTAAAGCGGGAAAAAATCATGTCTGAAGTATAAAACACATTTAACACAACTTTTATTTTAAAGTTTAACCATAAGCATGTATTGACAGATGGAATAAAATGGGGTTCAATGTCATGAGGACTGCGCTATTACAGCCTATTATTGTATCTGTATATCCTAAGAACTAGACATTGTTTCTGGCCAGGCCATCCATCTGGCACCACTGACAGAACTGGGATTGACACTGGGACACCCTGGTTAGTAAGCCAGGGTCACTGATTATGTGTGTAGGGTTGTGGCATGTTTCCCATTTCACTGACATGCTTCCTCAGTGTTATTGGTAGCTTTTAGTTTATAGATGTATCACTATCTCTTGTTGTTTATAGATGTATCAATATCACATCTCCTGTAACTTATTGACAAGTTCAAAAATAGATTATGAATAGAAATATCTGGTAATTATGGGTTTTAGACCACACTTCTTAGAATGAAGGGATGTCGACACAAGTTTAAGTTGAAATATATTATTATATAGCCAGCACAAGTAGCTAAAATAGATATAAATTTATAACTATAGTATAATACCTCAGCATAAGCCTGACTAATTGTTTCTATCAGATTTTGATGTTGTTGTAAAGCTTCTTCTAGTTCATCAATAACAGAAGGTATCTTTAAACTTTCACACATATTCTGCCACATTAAAAACTGTGCTAAATACTGTAAATAACAAATACAAGTTTGTTGTTATATTTAAACATACATTACGCAAAAGCTAAATTTGCCTACTGCAGGTCTTTCTTTAGGCCTGAGATGTCATGTAAACTATTAATTAGACATTATGTAACTTATCCAGACCATAATCAACTCTTGATGTCCAATTTTCATTCGATTTGAATCTGATCTGCCAGTCAGTGCTTACTGATGATTAAATGCAAATATGGATAAACAAGACTTTGTTTTTATCATACCGACTTCAGTAATGATGATCGAGACTAGACCTAAAATTGAATCACTAATATCTTAGTTCAGAGTGGAGCAATTCGACTGAATTTTTCAGCATATTCCCTTTACATTATCTAGTTCTTAACTATTATAGTGAGAACTGCCAGTACTTTATCTAAACTTCCTTAAAATCCCTTTAATGAATGCTAAATAAATACTTTTTTCCAGTGTATAAGACGCATCTTTCGAAGATTTTGTGCATTCTTGGAGAAGTGCATCTTATAACACTGGAAAATATGGTAGTCTCAAAAATTATCTTTTCAAAAACATTATTTATTTGCAGAAACTTTTAGACTCTCTCCGTAATCATACAAGCATAAATATATATTGGAAATATGAAAGAAGTCCAGCATTTATTTTATAAAGAGAGTCAAATATGACAATTTTTTCACTCAAAAGTCGTTTAACTAGAAAGTTTCAAAGCTTAAAATGTACCAGTCATTAGTACTGATTGATATGAAAGTCACACTTGCATTTCCATTTAATTTATATCATCAGATTCAACTATATATATATCAAATTCTACTATTTATATTATATCAGATTCAACTATCTATATCTGATTTAACTATCTATATCTGATTCAACTTCTACTATTTATGGCACATAACAAACAACTTACCTGTTCTGCTTTTTTGTGAAACATGACAGACATTTTAAGAACTGTACTTCTATCATCTAATGCTGCCGCTAGACTCTTCCATTCTCTTTCTAATTTACTCGCTTGCATTCGGATTGTGTTAGATGCATAATGACCTGAATCACACAATCTCTGAGCCATACCCAGAATTCTGGTTATATTGACATATACATTCTGGGGAAAAAAATAAAAGAAAGAATTGGTGAGGACTTTGAGCAAATGATTTGCTGTTTTACTCTGGCTTTTGTTCACATGTATACTAAATGTAAATAAAATTTAATCTTTATTTCATTCAGGTTTTAATCCACTACATACATGTACATGTAACTACTGCTTTATCTATTCTATCTTCTCTTTGAAATCTAATTTTGACCCTGTAACTGGTTAAATTTACCACCCTCTTCCCCCCCCCCCCCCCTCCCAACGAAATTTTCTGTTCATCAGCATTGATATGTTCTAAGTGACTGTTCTGTTTGGAGATAAAACTTTTTATTTGTTTTGTTTTCTATTGCTGCAACTGTCTACCCACAGTTCTGCATGTCACACAATAAGAAATCAACTCAACCGGCTATTTGATTGGTTAATTCCTCACATAACCCAGAATATGGATTATTTAACAACTCTTCCAGATCCTGGTGCAGTGAGGCCAAGTAAAACAAAATTTTGAACTATAAACAACAATATTAAACATAACTTACCACTGCACTAGTAGCAAACTGACTATGTTCGGTATCTAATTCTACAGCAAACTGATGTGATGTACCTATCTCGGTATAATTCACTAAAAACAGATCACGATTATGCATGATCCATTCAAACATCTGTAAAACAAAATAACCGATGATTCATTTTCCTTAACATCAAAAACATAAAACTATTTTTAACCCCCCAAAAAACAGCTGTGAAACATTAAACTAAAATAACAATAAGTACTGCAATGTTTTGCTATAAAAATCATCTTAGTTCATTGAGTTCTACCATTCTACATTTATTTTATTTTCCTTATTTAAATTTTGACTAGTATAATCAAGGCTAATACCAATTTTTATTAATACACTTCAAAAATGTTAAATTTGTCCCTCTGTGGTGGCCCTGATGCGATTCACTGATATGGGTCAAACTTTTAACTTTATCATCAATTGATGACTCCTACAAAATTTCAACGACAATAAACCTTAAGATTTCTTAAAATGCCCTTTAAAGTTGCCCCCCTCTGCTGAGCCACTTTGAACAAATCTGAATAAACATCACCTTAGTAATAATATACCTTCCAAATCTCACTGAAATACATCAAGATGTTTAATTGTAAATGACAATATGTTTACGTCTGCATCATGACAGATCAAAATTACGACATAATCCCCTTGGACGACAGACGGACAAATTGGCTAAAAACAACACAAATCTTACTTTTTCAACATCTTGTTCAAATATCCTGAGCTGTAGACATTGTTCTAGTCGCATTTTCTTCACCGTCCACAGTTGATTCAGATGTTGTTTAGTGGAATGAAGATTTTCAAGAAGTTGTGAGATCTGGGGAACAGCAGATTGGAAATCAGTGTTACCGGATATAGTATAAACTCGTCCGCTTTGACCATCTTCCTCCCCGTTAATTCTGGTTAAAATATTCTGACCTTCGCTTCCTAGTATTTCAACCGGTGCCAAAGTGACACGTTTTTTAAGTCGATTATGCTCTTCCAGAACTAACTGGGCACCGTTTAAGTCATCTGGTAGTTCAGGGTTTGTTAGAATTTCTCCCAATTCATCCAGTTTGTCCAGTAAATCTAATGCTTGCCATATGAAGTCCTCTAACATCTAAAACAATCAATACATTAGACAGTCAATGATCATTTTAAAACAACATTGCCATTAACTATGCACCTAATACCTGCTATTAACGAAAAGGAAACTATTCTAAGTGTGAAAGAGAGAGAGAGAGAGAGAAATGGGGTTTAAAATCCACTCGACACAAACTAGGTTATTTCGGGACTAACATATGGTTTAATTTTATTTCAATAATTCGCTTGTGCGTAGGGTTTTTTAGCAGTGGGAGGAAACCGGAGGACTCGGAGGAAACCCACGAGGTTGGACAGGCGACCCTACTCCTTGTCACGTACAACCAGGGATTCGAAACCACACCAGTTGACTCAATGACATCTAAGTGTGAAAGATTGGGGAACAGTCAAGCACTTCACAGTATGACCCTAGTTGCTTTATGTGCCGTGCTTGTAAACATAATCAAAGGTGTATATATAGAGCATATTTCAGTACCCAACATAATATCCCTTCTTTAAAACAAAATCATAACGTTTATCTCTTTACTGACCTTTACCTATAAATCGAAATGTACTGGGCAAAACAAGCCAAATTGTTCATACAAACTTTTATTTTAAAATCTTCTAAAAATATGTTTTATTTTAAAATTTTCTAAATATGTTTTATTTTAAAATTTTCTAAATATGTTTTATTTTAAAAATTTCTAAATATGTTTTATTTTAGATATCTAAACCCCCAAGCCATTCTTAATTAACCAAAGGTATATTTTAAGAGTTTTATACTTAATCGAAGTATACAAACAGATCTTACCAATCTAAGTTGAATCCATTGTTCGTGATCATAATCTAAAGTTCCATCAAATTCCCTTGTTAAATGTCCGGGATCTACAGCTTTATTTAAACTATCTACAGATATCATACTCGTCTAAAATACAAACACAACCAAATTAACGTGATAGGGAAATGGGGTTTAACATCCACTTGACACAAGCCAGGTTATTCAATTTTATTTCAATAATTTGCTTTCTCGTAGGGGGCTCTAGTAGTTGAAGGAAACCAGAGGACACAGAGAAAACCCACTAAGTTGGACAGGTGACCTTATTACTTGTGACGTACAAGCAGTAAATCAAAACCATGCCATTTTGACTAAAGTACACGCGTTAGACCATCTGGACACCCAATCCCCTTAAAACCAAATCAAGGGGTGAGATAAATGGGGTTTAATGTCCACTCAATAAAAATTGTCATTTTGGGACAAACATATAGAACAGTTTTATTTTAACAATTATTTTGCATGCAACAGTGCACACTGATCTGCAGTGAATATGCGCTAGGCTGTGACAATCACTGATAAGGATGACATCGATGCGACTTAATGAGCCACAAATATTAACATTTTTTAAAATAAATAAAAACGTTTGAAGTATTTGTAGGTAAAAATTTCTTCCCATTTTAGTGTAAATGGGTATTAAAATGAGTAAAAGGTGCCATTCTACTCAAATCTGTAACGTCCTATGTAAACAATGCACGCGCCATTGCGCCAATGATTGAAGCCACGTGATATGACGTCATTTGTTGAAGGCAGTCATCTTTTACAGAGATATTAGAAGATTTCCGTAATACTCTGTGAAACAGATTGGCAACAGTCTTTAGTAGTGGGAGGAAACCAGAGGACCTAGAAAAACCCCACAAGGTTGGGTCAAATCATGGAGACAGTTTGAGATATACGATATCATTACATTTTTTGTGTTCATATGTGAAACCTTGAAATTCTTTTCCTTATTAATCTTACAAATAGCAACCCTAGTTCCTGCATCAAAATATAACAATGCATCCATTCAGTTTCTATGTTGATTTTACTATGGCCCTGATTTGTTTTCATAGTATTATCAAACTTACCTCAAAATTATATTTGGCACTCCCAAGACTTGTTCTCTGTTTTTCCCAGAATTTTTCTGGTTTTATTATATAAGCTATGTTTATATTTCCTGGGAAACATTCCTGTAAAATATAAAAGACACCAACAGCTTACTTTACAACATTACAACAATATGGCGCCAATTTTGAGTATGATAAAAAATAATATTACATTGTACCTTCATCATGTCGACACTATATTTTGAAGAATAAAACAAAGTTCTAATAAACAAACTCTACTCGTTATACAGAATCTTTTTGGTAGTATCACTGTAACCCAGGTATCGTTTAATCTTGTGTATCTAGCACTAATTTCTTTCACATTCGTTTAATATCCAATCTTTGTTTAAAAATTTGTAAAAAATGTTTCGGCACTAACCGGGATAATGAAGGTGCCATGTGAGGAATATTTTGCCCTACTGCTGGGTTCTTCTACATGCACACCAATTTGTACATGGGAAATTGTTTTTTCAATCTCAACCCACCCAAATGAATAGGTGCATTTCCTTGCCAGGCTCTCCATCCTTCACCAACGAGGGACTATGGTGGATACTCCTAAAGAACTTTCTCGACCAACACCTGGATCAATATCCGGACATCCTGGTTAGTAAGCTAGTGGCTTACTCACAGAGCAACCACGGCTTTCTTGTTTGTCTGGACATACACAGTGTAGTGTAAACTGGCAGATATAGGTCCTTCAATTTGCCATGTATAAAGGACTAATATCAATTATAATTTATAAAGTAGACGTAGAGCTCATTTGTAATATTTCTTGTTACCTGTAATGCCTTTAAGATAGGTTTAACAATCTGCCACGTAGATCCACGCATGTCTAGTATTATAGTGAAACCTCGGTCACGTACTTCATCACTATAAATAAACAATAAAATTAATATCAAATCATCACACCCTTGAAACCATATGCTTACACTTGCCACTAGTATCATCAGAGAGGGTTAAAAGTAGCTAACACTAACAGATCTGTATTTTTTTAGGACCAAGAAATTTTAGGCAAGAAATTCGAAATTTTTCCAAGAGGGGAACAGTGAAAGACATGATCATCAATGCATTAATAATTAAATAGGAACCACTAAATGAGTAATTAAACATGTTTTATTCTACTTGGTTCCTAATATTCGGGGGCTAAATAGAAAGAGAGAAATGGAGTTAACATCTATTCAACACAAACTAGGTCATTTCGGGACTAATGGTTCAATTTGATTTCAATAATTCACTTGCGCATAAGTTTTTTCTTGGCAGTGGGAGGCAACTGGAAGACACTGAGAAAACCCATTAGATTGGACAGGTGACCCTACTCCCCCAACTTCCAATTTATGTGCTGGAAAACAATCAACACGGCATTGCAACAAACATGCAATAAGAGCATCCTTGTCGCTATGTCTTGCTGTATGTGTACAAAACTGTGATTGTTTTCCATATATAAATTGTGTTGTGGGTTTTTTTTTGTACTCAATTGTAGAATGCCATTCAAGGATTATGCAGTAATCTTGATATTTATATTTCTTCTTACCTTGGAACACTTGCTAAATACGTCATTAATCTTCTCAAATCTTCATACTTTAAACGTTCAGGATGGGTGTGGTTTGGAAAAGTCATAATTGGTCCACCCTTTTTATCACGTCCCCCTAACAACAAAAGAAAAATTTAAAAAAATTATTATGTTTAAAAAGTGTATAAAAACAAAACTGTCCGACCATATTTCAATGTGGGTGCAGTACATGTATATACATGTATCCAATGGACTAATACATTGCAACTATAAAATATACATGTAATCCAACCACATTCTTGACAGGCAAACCTAATTATACCCAAACCAGAGATAACATGGCTATAATATTCAATTAAGGGTATGCAATAAAACGATCATAGGCTGAAGTCTGTAATGTCAAGACGTCCTTTTCCCACAAATTACCATCTGCTCAAAATTGATGAAAATAAGAAATATTTCATATTTCAAGACAAAAAGACCCTTTGTTTTGGTTGAGAAAAACTCAATAAACCCCACATGTGTATGATCAAACACAATGGTACATTTAGGAATATAATGCTCACTTTCAAATTTATCATATTTTAATTCAAATTTACTCTTGCCTATATCATCTTTCAGTTAAAAAATAATTTTTTAATTAATTTATATCAATACCAATACGCTTCCAATGAACTACATATATCAATTTAAAGCCATCATAGACAACATTCTGTCTTTCTATAGGCTACCACATCATCCTTTATTTCATGTATCTTGTACTGACTTCTCTCTGTAGGATTCCATTTAATAAAGAATATCAAAGCTGATTGATATCAGAATTTGGCTTGTTTTGGTATTATGTACATTGTATCGAAATCTCTCTGTAGGATTCCATTTAATAAATAATATCAAAGCTCATTAATATCAGACTTTTGGCTTGTTTTGGTATCATCTACCGGTACATTGAATTTAGTACATACATGTATACATGAATAATATTTTCAAAAAACAATCAAAATTTAAAAGAAAAATGTGATTTTACTGCAAATTTCTATCAAGTTTTTATTTCATTTCTATCAGTAATAACGTATTTGATAAAGAATATTTATTTACCCGAGAGGTAAGCGATCCTCTCCCGCAGCACAGGAACAATGTCTGCTGCTTTTAACCCATCATTTCTTCTTCCTCCTGAAATAAAACAAAACAAAATAACATGGATTTTATAATGTGAGGAACTACATCTATACAGAAGCATGAATATCTTTTGTGGAGCTAACACAGTTAAATCAAATATGGAATTCTAATTTGTAAGACGACCGATATCTGCTTAATCTTTAGAAACAAAAATATATCATAGAGCTTGTTCCATCAAAGAGATTCAATTTGTTTAAAAGCTAAAAAGTAGATAGGAGGAGATAAATCTATAATTCCTGTTTCAAATAGATCATAGAACACATCTGAAAATAGATACAGGTAGGGGTTTTTCCTACAAATGAACAATCCAACCAAGAATTCTGAGATGAGTCGACATTCATATTTCATATTAAGAGTACCGGTACATTCAATTTTATAGTTTGTTCATAAGAAATAATCGTCAAACAGATAGACCTACATGTACATGTACAGACACAGACTATGACAAAGACCAAATTAAATACTGGCATATAGAATTGGCTCAATGCAAATAATTTTGTTACCCCTTTAGTTTTAGCATTTAAAAATAATATCTTGTGAAATTAATCACTGATATTTCTCTTTCTAATTATTGACTAAGTAATTATAATTATAATTCAACAGGTTGGAGATATTTGCAATTACATGTACATGTACATCATTCGAAAATTAAAGTTAACAAAATATCCATAGAATAAAAGTGTATAATTATAAAGACATGGTCTAACTATTTCAATACATAGACATAGCTACATACATGTATAGTAGTGTACCTGAATCAACTTGTACTGTATAAAGTTAATAAGTTCACTTATGAACCAACAACTTTTAGTTTTACTAATGAAAATATAAACATCTGGCAGAAATTTGTTCTAAGTTGTCATTTTTTTTATGCAATTATTATAATGTTTACTGGTCAGTTAAAATTGTTAGTAATCCAACAGTAGTCATCATTCTGCACACAAAAAACTATCTGCTATGAGAATAGATCTCTGCCCCGAATGGCCACCATATTCAAAAATAGATTGCCAAGCAATTAATGGAAATTCTTGAAAATAAATGAAATGGGATAATGTCCTACTGTTCTGCTCCGACTGGGCTAATGTAGATGGGCATATGCCATACAGTGTGCTATGAGGGCAGCAGCACTATGGCCTACTATTATATTGAATTCCAACTGCCATGGGATCTTTTACTTGCATGCCAATGTATACACGGAACCTCGGTTTTTCATCGCATCTGAATGACTAGATAGCTGTCCTTGTCAGGCCCTTCGTCCTGCACCACTGACAAGGAGAAACCATGTGGGAAAACCCTGTTGAACTTTCTCAGCCAATGCAAGGATCGAACACGCTACCTCCAGGGCTACCGAGCCAGCTCCTTACCCACTTAGCCACGGTGGCTCTTTCTTGAAAATAAATAGGATCTTTGTTTCACGAATGTTATAAATTCTAAAAAGATCAAAATGAAATGAAATGGGGTTTAACGTCCTAATGTTCTGCTCCGAACTGGGCTAATGAAGATGGGCATACACCATACAGTGTGCTATGAGGGAAATTTTGCCCGGACAGCGGCACTACGGCCTACTCTTATATCGAATTCTAACTGTCAAGGGATCTTTTATGTGCACGCCAATGTGTACACGGGACCTCGGTTTTCGTCCCATCCGAACGACTAGACAGCTGTCCTTGTCAGGCCCTCCGTCATGCATCACTGACAAGGGGGAACCACGACGGAAAATCTGCTAAAAAGATCAGATAATAAATGTAGTCGGTTGAGTGTTCACAAGAAATTGTGGACGACTGACCAACAGAGGCAATGGCAATATACAAGTTACAACCACATTTCCATGTAGGAGTATAAAAATTAGTATGCTATTTTGCAATGTCATTCCAATCCGTTGTACACATCTTTAATACACACAAAGATTAAATAAACATTTTTGATTTTATCAAGCAGAATAAATACTTCTAAAAATTCTCAAAGTATACTTAGTGCTTTTGACTAAAATTGTCGTTTTTAAAATTAAACTATCTGTGCTCAAGCGGACCTAATTGTAATGTCCATACATGTGATGTGAGTGGTCATTAGGTACATGTAACTGTTTAAAGGAGGCAATTCTCTAACGCAATATCATCCACAGTCCTCGACATTGCAAACACGACTTAATGGTCAATTTAAATTAACATTGATGTTGATATACATGTACAGGTATGTACTGTATCTTGCCGTGGAAAGATGGGCTTCTGATATCCAATATTTAAGACAAAATGAAAACTTTAAAATTGACACCCGAAACGTGTGCTATAATGCTCTTAAGCGCCATTTGTATTAAAGCGACTCGATGAACGAGGCTTAACATACCCCACAGGAGAATACTACCGGTGTAAACTGGAATAACCTGACGCAAAAGACTGCCATTCAATTTGGACACTTTGCGTATTTCGCTGATCATAACTGATTAGAAGTTACAGTAAAAACAGAAACAGTTATATACATTCATAAATTACATTATCATATGTGTTGCGACCCCTTTGTGTCTATTTCAAGGTGCCAAAGAATAGGGATTTAGCCCCTTTAAACATGTAAGTAATTTACGCCACTATTAGATGCATTTGAGTATTAATTAGTAGTGAGCATTCACCCTTTCACACTAGAAGTGGCATCAAATATAGCTGGTTACACACCTGCTAATTAATGACTAAGTACTGTATAATTTCTAACCACTTTCTATATACATGTATATATACATGTATACATGTATGTCAGATGATATTGAGACACTGGATGTCAGATGATATTCGAACTTATTATGACTAGATGTAATAGGTCATTTTGGTGCTATTTTAATAAGTCATTACGCATATGGGTCTTTAGCAGTTGGAGGACCTGTGGAAAACCCACGACGATGGACAGATGACCTTACTCCTTGTCACGTACAAGCTGGGAATCAAAACCATGCCAACTCAATGGCAGACCTTATGATTTAAGACAAAAGTGCTTATGTTAGACCATTAGGCCATCTGACCCCCTCCATGTACATGTACTTAACTGTGCTAATATAGGTAATTTCAAAGAATTAGAAAATTAATTACAGTATTTCAGATGCATGTAATTTGACGGATAAAAAGAAAGAAAGAGTTCTACTGCTACATGTACATGTACTCTGAAATTGTTGCTAGAAAACTATCTCAGCATGTGCTTGACATACAAAACATAAATTCCATGTGCTGTAATTTCCTATTTATAGCTGTCAAACAGCATGACACTCTCATTTGATCTAAAAATGGAGAAAATCAAATGTTTACCCTAAAGCAAATTCATGATGACATGATGACACAAACATACATTTGTAAGGTGAAAATGCTCCTTTATACAAATGTATAGTACAGTCAATGGTGTGCTGAATTTACAAGGAAATGGATAAGCACTTTAAACGAGCCAAGGTCTGGTTGCATCAGGGCCGTCGGCCGAAACTAGCTCAGAGCAACAAGGGGGGCAGGAAGTGTTCTCAGGGGTGCTGTAAAATTGACAGACAATGTATATCTATTGTTTTTATGGTCGACAATTTTTTCACAGGGGGGTTGCATGCCCTTGTGAAGTGACCATCCAAGATAAAGTTGGTGATGTTCTAAACACAATATTCAAGACAGGCGAGTAACTGTTAGACAGTTAGCTACTGCACATGACATTAGCAGAACATCAGTGGAACGAATTATTCATGAACATGTGTACATGAACAAGATGTCTGCTCATTATTGGGTGTCCAGAATGTTGAATGAAGAACACAAATGTCGCAGAATCATAACTCAGACTATGGAAGAGATACACATGCTTTCTTGGGTCATTGTTACTCCTGGATGAAACTTGGGTTCGCCATTTTGACCCAGAAACCTAAAGGTCAAAGTATGCTGGGGAAGCATGATTTTCCATGTGAATTCACCAACGGCCAAAAAGTTCAGAAGTGGCAACATCGTGGCCTCTGTTTTCTGGGACTCTGAGGGTGTAATCATGTCAGATTACATGTATCTAAAGAAAGGTTCCACCAAAAATGGTACATATTACGGTGATGAATAACACCAGTTGCATGATGAAATCAAAGAAAAGCAGTGAGGTGTCTGGCTGCTTCAGTTCACACCGCTCTAGCAGCAGTGAGCGCGGCACAAGACCGTGGCTTCAAGATCCTCCATCACCCAGCCTATTCTCAGATCTAGCACCCTCTGACTTCTTCCTCTTCCCATAAATCAAATCTGTCCTCAGGGGCCGCAGATTTTGGATGGAACAGTTTCAAGGTCATGTGACAAATAGTGTTGGTTTTTTTCGACAGGTTAAAGATGGGTTCCCAGAAAAGTATTTATCGGGTGGTTATTTCCAATAAAAGTACGGTAATTTTGGTATATATGGAAAGTATCGACATCCAATCTTACTAGAAAAATACTGGATTCCCCGAAAAACACTCATGGAGCGTATACAGGACAAAAATGTAAGGATTCCCCTAATCAACAGCCCGACAGTTAGGAACTTCTGCACACATGATGTCAAAGGTCACAAGCGAACATTAAGCGCTTCATGTACAAGTTGATAAACTTTATGAAGAGATAAAAATGAAGGAAAAAGACGCGGGTAGTGGATAATCCGAGGATTTAATTAGGATTCGATATTTGTAATAAATAGTAAGCGATTAAAGACAACATCGTCTTATGTATGCAATGAATTCTCCTCTGACTCCTAAGACGTGACGTAAACATGACCTGGTTTGATCGAATCTTAATAGCAGGGCATTCCTTCACAATTACAATGTTTGAGAAGGATTTGAAGCATAATTATGACAAATTTGGAGCTAAGAACAAAAACTGGAAAATCAATAAAGACGTTGTCTAATACATTATATACTGGTATACATGTACATGTAGCTCCATTTTGAAAAGTTGGGACTTTCACCTATAATAGAGAGTCCACAAGATGTTTCAGATAGAGTCCACAAGATGTTTCAGATAGATCAAGGGCCATAACTT